TCTAGTGAGAATAATAGAATTCTTTTCTTGGTGAGAGAAAACATTTCATTTATTGGGATTCAAAGTTAGTATTTCCTATTATCAACATCTATTCTAAATGTTCCTCTCTCAATGTTGATCTATAATTAGATTTTAGGTATTTTAACTCTATAAATGGAAGCGTTGACATCAGTCTAGGTGTATATCATTTTAATCGAGCATGGTCATCACTTGGAAGGCACTCATGGAATCCAGTTAGATTCTTCTCTTGTCTTTGCCTTTCCATATGGTATTACACTGCAGATTCATATCTTCCTGTGGAAGGTTAGACAACAGCTCCTCCCCTGCACAGCTAAATGGATTTTGAAATATGGAAATCCAGGTTCACAAACACACTGTAGTTTAAAGTGAGAATGTATAGCCACTGCAAGCTGATGTGAGCATGGAGCTCTCACTTCCTTTAATTTGAATAACATGGCAAGTGCAGAACACAGTTTGATGTGACTTGTGATTGGAACAGTGTCAGTCACCATCAAAATGACGATAACAGAATCTGAGTTTCGCACATGAGCACTGTTTTGCCTTGCAGTTTTAGGTTAAATTTATTAGGATACATTATCAAGTCTGCAGTGAAAGCAGACTTTCCAAAGCCCTTCCAAACTCAGTAATGGTGGTGAGGGCAGTTCTTGTTCAGAAAAGTTTCAGTCTCAGCTCTGAGCTCAAAACAATGGATTAAACTTTATTAAGCCATCAAACTGGTGTGTGGTGGGACAAATCGGCATGGTCAGCTTATTTCTGATGAAAAGTTAGAGAACAGATGGTGGTTGAATCCATGAGAGGGATTGGCATTCACTGTTGTCACTATGGATTCAATCACACACAATAGATTTTCTGCAAAAGGCCTGCTGATACAAAGAATAGCTTGAAGCATCTTACATTTTGACAAGCTTTGTAAGTTTGTAATTTGTTTTTCTGTTCCATACATTTTTACCACCATCAGTTGCAACAGCTTAGCAGATTCCACATTGGGTTCTACTAAATTCATGTTTTCTCAACTTCTTTTAAAGCATTCTTGCCAGTAGTTGTTCTACACAGACTATTTAAAGAGCCTAACGCTTCATTCACTTCAGCCTTGATGTGAACTCCTCAAATAAACAACTGGGCCATGTCAGTAACATCCATAGACTCACCCAGAGCCGACAAAGACTGCTCATCCTCTGCCTTGCTTTAAAAAAAAAAAAAAATCATTATTTTGAGACAGGATCTCACCCTGTCATCCAAGCTGGAGCGCAGTGGCAAAATCTCAGCTCACTGCAGCCTCCATCTCCCAGTCATAGGTGATCCTCCCACCTCAGCCTCCCGAGTAGCTAGAACTGCAGGCACACGCCATGACACTCAGCTAATTTTTGTATTTTTTCTAGGGAGGGGGTTTCACCATGTTGCCCAGGCTAGTCTCCAGTTCCTGGACTCGAACAATCTGCCTGCCTCGGCCTCCCAAAGTGCTGGGATTACAGTCATGAGCCACATTGCCTGGGCCTGCCTTGTTTTAATTGACTGTCGATGTTGCTCCCAGTGTCCACTTGCTCCTCCAGCAGGTGTTCTCCCTGAAAGCCTAATCGTGAGAAACAGGTGTGTGTTCTCTGGACACGCCTCTGTGGTTGCTGCCGTTAATTAACTCACCACTGATGCATGCATTCCTTGCTTCACTAACCAGTGAGCCGCCGATAATCTACTTTGGCTGCAGCCTCATTTTCCTCTGTTTTGTGAAGAAATCCTGCTGTGATGAGCTTCTATCTTAAATTGTCTAATTTCTCTGACCAGTGCTTTCCTGTGAGTTGGGAATATGTTGGCAAGTGCAGAGTCAGGTAATTTATCCTCTATTATATTCTTCTGATACAGTTCTAGCATCATCAGCAGCTGACGTTTGCCCGTTCAGCATTCAACCCGGAACTTGAAACCAAATTGAGAGAAATGGATCAAAGTTCGCTGTGTGTGATTCTCACATCCTGGAAGGAAAGGTTCTCTCACACAGCATTTGTCCGTTGTTTAAATGGGTGACATCCAGTGCAGAAGTCTCTTAGACCATTTTCAATTCTGTGTATTTCAAGTGTGCTAATATTTTCCTTCTGCTTTTTGACCTTGCCTTCCTGTTATCAAGTATTCAATTTAGGATGGACTTTTCTCAGGTCCAGAGACCCAACTTTTTATGAACTGAGTACTCTCTATTTTAGCAGAAATCTTTCTAAACCAAATCCAAGCCTTATATTCCCCACAATTTTTATGTCTTGCTCTCTTTTTCTGTATTTCTTCAATCTTAGAATTCGAACACTTTCTCAACTCTATCCTGCAGCTTGCCTACTGGGAAATATTGTGAGGCTGTCACTCTCAGGGAAGTTTTCTCTCAACTTTCTCACACTGGTGTCCTTTTTGCTCTTTGCCGCATTGAGAATCTCCTAAGCTGTCTTCAGAAGTGGGCTTCCTGCTCCTGGTGCTTCTCAAGTTGATACACTCGGGTAGAGTGAGAGCTGCTCTGTCTTACGTCATTAATTCTGTCCGTCCAGGTCTAACACAAGGCCTCTTGTTCTGGCTGACAAATGGGCAGAGGCAGGAAAGATGTCTGATCACAAATCAAAATCACCTCCTATGTTTAAGGGAGGCTGTGCCAGTCAGGCTTACTCTTATCTCCATCAAAAGCAGATTCTACTTGTTCCACAGGAAATGTTGGTATGCAAGCACTCGCAGTGTACCCACCACATCCCAGATGCCACTCCACGGTACCCATTGTCTGCCCAGATCTGAATCATGTTTCCAAGAAGCAGAGAGAAATTGCTGGGATTCTTTGTTCTTATTCATTGCTTGCCAACACCACAGCTTCCAGGAGCGTCCGAATGCACACTTACTGGCCAAAGTGTGCTTTGCGGTAAATCAGTATGAAGTCTTCCTAGGGGTCCTGGCCTGAATGAGTTGAGAACCTTAGAGGCTGCTTTTGACTCACGTGAACGTCTTCACCAGGAGCTGAGTGGAAGGCTGGGGAGAGAATGGCTTGAGGGTACACGGCCAGCAGTGCACTACTCATCACGTGATCACTGTCCATGTTCGTAACCGTGACTAATGACTAATTATGATTTCACCCTGGCACAAATGGTCACAATGGAAACAAATAACAAGCTTTAAAGTTTTTCCTGCTCTGTTAAGGTATAATTTACAAATAATACAGTTCACTCATTTTAAGTCTGTAGTTTGATGAATTTTGGTGATTGCATATAGTTGTGTAATCATCACCCGAAATCAAGAGATAGAACAGTTGTATTCCTCTAAAAAACTCCTGTTGTGTGTCTCTGCAGCCAGTCTCCACCCTGACTCTATTTTTGCCTTTTCTGGATTTCATAAGTAAGTCTAAATTCAAGTTCATAATCTATTAATACAGAGAGCAGTAATATTGCCCAAAAAGGGAAGGTTAATCTTTGCAGTTAATCCTCTCCCCTGAGTCTCATTTTGCCCGTTCTAGAATTTCCGAAGTCTAAATTCAATTTCTTTCATTGGTACCAGTGCTATTCATGTCACCTTTCTTTCTTCTTGGGTCTGCTCTGGTCATTTGTGTCTTTCAAGGAGTTTGTCTATTTTATTAAGTTGTCGAATTTGCTGATATACGGTTGTTCGTAATAGTTCCTTATTACCTGGGTGGATCATGTGAGCCCAGGAGTTCAAGACCAGAACTAAAGACCAGACATAGAGAGACCCCATCTCTACAAAAAAAAAAAGTTTAATTAACCGGGTTTGGTGGTGTGTGCCTCAGGTCCCAGCTAGTCAGGAAGCTGAGGTAGGAGGATCACTTGAGCCTAAGATGTTGAGGCTGCAGTGAGCCATGATTGCCCCACTGCACTCTAGCCTGGGTGACAGAGCAAGACCCTCTATTGAAAAAAAAAAAAAAAAAGAGTTCCTTATTATCCTTTTAAGGTCCGTAGGATATGTAGTGATGTCCCCTCTTTCAATGTACTATGCATTGATATTAAAGAGAAAATTCAAACACAGAATAACATTTTGCATTCTCTTCATAATTTTCTAAGTTCTTGTCCTTTTATTTTGTCTCATTAAACCTTCAGTAAAGTGCACCTAAGCCAATGTGGTACAACAGAACACGATCTTCGAATTGCCCCAATTTACATTTAAACTCAGCCACTCAGTAGCCCGTGATCTTGAGCAGTTTACTTTACCACTCTGTGTCATTTCATCCTCTGTCAAATGTGGATAAGAGTGCCTCCTGCCTGGTTAGCTAGAGGCTGGGGTGGTTTGCAGGGAATGCAAATGCTCAGGGAATGGGAGCCGTTGCAATGGTGATGGATGATGTGATGGGGTGTTCCAAATCTTATTGCTCAGACCAGGACTGGTTAATGGTTTTAGGATACTGGAAATTTCAAGACCTTCTTGAAGCCCCTAGTTTTCCTAATTCAATGTATTCTGTTTTATGTTGTATGTAAGTAGAATCTGGAGTTTGTACACTGCGGCGAACATGTTTGAAACGTGGTAGTGCTTTATTTAAAAATCTGCATTTTGGCTGGAGACAGTGGCTCACACCTATAATCCCAACATTTTGGGAGGACAAGGCAGGAAGTTCACTTGAGGCAAAAGTTTGAGACCAGCCTGGACCACAGAGTGAGAGCTCATGTCTACAAAAGAAAAGTAATAATAATAGTAAGTATGGGAGCACATGCTTATAGTCCCAGCTACTCAGGAGGCCGGGACAGGAGGATCGCTTAAGCCCTGGAGCTCAAGACTGTAGTGAGCCATGATCACGCCACTGCACTGCAGCCTGGGCAGTACAGCAAGAACCTCTCCCAAAAAATAAAATTAAAATCAAAATCCACTTTTAGCTTAAATATAATAAATCACTATGAATATTACTGAGGATGGCATTTGTACAAGAAAGTAAGATTTAAAACTCAAATCATTTAAGATAGGATTACGGAAATGATGATCTTTAACATTTTTCAAAAACATGTACCTGTTTCTTGTTTCCTCAGGTCCTTAATTTACCCATTTCTGATTCGAGGAGGAACGCCTATGCCACTGTTTTCATGTATACTGGCAACTATGTTCTGTACCGGTAACGGCTATTTGCAAAGCAGATACTTAAGCCATTGTGCAGTGTATGCTGATGACTGGTTAAGGGATCCCCGTTTCCTAATGGGTGAGTGTCCACAGCAGTGACCTCCACCTCATTCACATCACTGCTTTTATGTTGCCATCCCAATGGTATTTTTTTATATTTCCACTTATTTTATTGCATTTTAGGTTTTGGGATACATGTGAAGAACATGCAAGATTGTTGCATAGGTACACACGTGGCAGTGTGATTTGCTGCCTTCCTCCCCGTCACCTACATCTGGCGTCTCTCCCCTTGCTATCTCTCCCCAACTCCCCACCCCCCACCATTCCTCCCTATTTCCCCCCAACTGACCCCAGTGTGTAGTGCTCCCCTCCCTGTGTCCATGTGTTCTCATTGTTCAACACCCGCCTATGAGTGAGAACATGCGGTGTTTGATCTTCTGCTCTTCTGTCAGTTTGCTGAGAATGACGGTTTCCAGGTTCATCCATGTCCCTACAAAGGACACAAACTCATCGTTTTTGATGGCTGCATAATATTCCATGGTGTATGTGTGCCACATTTTCCCTGTCCAGTCTATCATCGATGGGCATTTGGGTTGGTTCCAGGTCTTTGCTATTGTAAACAGTGCTGCAATGAACATTCGTGTGCACGTGACCTTATAGTAGAACAATTTATAATCCTTTGGGTATATACCCAGTAATGGGATTGCTGGGTCAAATGGAATTTCTATTTCTAGGTCCTTGAGGAATCGCCACACTGTCTTCCACAATGGCTGAACTAATTTACACTCCCACCAACAGTGTAAAAGTGTCCAGTGGTTTTTAATGAGAAAGTCCAAGGTTCCTGTGAGAACAAAGACTCAGCAGAGAGAGCAGCAGTACCCCAGGGTTGCCCATGGGAGAGCCAGGCTGTCTGGAGGTGACACAGGTGCTGAGCTGAAGCACAGGTGCCTGGTCAGGCTGAGAACCTGAAAATAGCAGCGCACTGTGGCAGAATGAGCAGGGACTAAAGGCTGAGACGATTTTGGCACTCATCGACCACGTAATCTAAGATGGGCCCCAAACTCCTGCGGTCTCTGCTGTGATATGAGAAAAAACCAGACTGGGTTATCTTCCTACAGGGCAGCTTTTGTGATTCTGTGAACCTGAATCACTTTTAGGTTTACGAAGTTCTTGAATTTTTTTAGTTGTATCAGTTAATGTGAATTCATGTACCTTTTCAACCTCTAATTATAACTTTATAAGATCTGAGAAAAATGAAAATAAAACAGCCATCAAAGATATTTGCAAGAGCATTAGAAATGTATAATCTGGCTGGGTGCAGTGGCTCACACTGTAATCCTAGCACTTTGGGAGGCTGAGGTGGACATATCACTAGAGTCCAGGAGTTCAAGACCAGCCTGGGCAACATCGCAAACCTCCATCTCTAAAAAAAATATAAAAATTTAGCTGGGCATGGCGACACACACCTGTGGTCCCAGCTTACTCACAGACACTAAGGTGGGAGGATCACCTGAGGCCAGGAGGTCGAGGCTGCAGTGAGCCATGATTCTGCCGCTGCATTCCAGCCTAAGTGACGGAGTGAGACACTGTGTCAAAAAAAAAAAAAAAACTCAGCAATCTTATATATAAGAAAGATTCTTTCCAAGAAGCAGCTTCTCTGCTCCTTCTGGAATCTCTACCTGGTTCAGCCCTTCTGCCTTCACTCTGCCTCCACCATGTCCATCAGGATGACTCAGAAGTCCTCCAGGGTACCCACCGCTGGCCCCTGGGCCTTCAGCTGCTGCTCCTACGTGAGTGAACCCCACGTCCACATCAGCTCCTCAAGCTTCTCCTGAGTGGGCGGCAGCAGCAGCTTCCAGGGTAGCCTGGGTGGAGGCTGTGGTAGGGCCAGCAGGATGGAGGCATCACCACCGTCACAGTCAACCAGAGCCTGCAGAACCCCATTAACTTGGAGGTGGACCCCAGCATCCAGGCCATGTGCACCCAGGTAAAGGAGCACATCAAGACCCTTAACGACAAGTTTGCCTCCTCCATCGACAAGGGAAGGTTCCTGGAGCAGCAGAACAAGATGCTGGAGACCACGTGGAGCCTCCTGCAGCAGCAGAAAATGGCTCAGAGCAACATGGACAGCACGTTGCAGAGCTACATCAACAACCTGAGGCGGCAGCTGGAAACTCTGGGCCAGGAGAAGCTGAAGCTGGAGGCGGAGCTTGGCAACATGCAGCGGCTGGTGGAGGACTTCAAGAACAAGTATGAGGAAGAGATCAATAAGCTACAGAGATAGAGAATGAATTTGTCCTCATCAAGAAGGATGTGGAGGAAGCTGACATGAACAAGGTAGAGCTGGAGTCTCACCTGGAAGGGCTGACTGACAGATCGACTTCCTCAGGCAGCTGTAGGAGAGGAAATCCGGAAGCTGCAGCCCCAGAGCTCAGACACGTCTGTGGTGCTGTCCATGGACAACAGCCGCTCCCTGGACATGGACAGCATCATCGCTGAGGTCAAGGCACAGTATGAGGAGATCACCAACCGCAGCCGGGCTGAGGCTGAGAGCGTGTACCAGATCAAGACGCTGGCTGGGAAGCACAGGATGACCTGCGGCATACAAAGACTGAGATCTCTGAGAGGAACTGGAATATCGGCTGGCTCCAGGCTGAGACTGAGGGCCTCAAAGACCAGAGGGCTTCCCTGGAGGCTGCCATCGCAGATGCTGAGCTTGGGGAGCTGGCCAGTAAAGATGCCAATGCCAGGCTGTCTGAGCTGGAGGCCACCCTACAGCGGGCCAAGCAGGGCGTAGTGCAGCAGCTGCGTGAGTACCAGAAGCCGATGAGTGTCAGGCTGGCCCTGGACATCGAGATTGCCACCTATAGGAAGCTGCTGGAGGGCGAGGAGAGCCGGCTGGTGTCTGGGACGGAGAACATGAGTATCCATATGAAGACCACCAGCAGCTAGACAGGTGGTTTGAACTCAGCCTATGGGGGCCTCACAAGCCCCAGCCGTAGGTACGGCCTGGGCCCCAGCTTTGGCTCTGGTGCTCCTTCAGCCGTACCAGCTTCACCAGGGCCGTGGTTGTGAAGAAGATTGAGATCTGTGCTGGGAAGCTGGTGTCCGAGTTCTCTGACATCCTGCCCAAGTGGACAGCTGCAGAAGCCCCTCCCAGCCTGCCCCTCCTGTGGCCGCTGAGCAGGGGAGCACAAAACGGGAGACCCACCTGAAGCTCAGCCTAAGCCCTCAGCCCACATGCAGGGAGTTTACTGCCTGGGGACACCCTTTGCCCATGCCTCCAGCTACAAAACAATTCAATTGCTTTTTTTTGTTTTGTCCAAAATAAAATCTCAGCTAGCTCTGCAAAAAACAAAGGTTCTTCTGTGTATTTATTTAGTCTATTCTAGCATTTAGGTATTAAACCACACTAAGGCGTGGCTTACCCCCACGGTAGCATGCTAAAACTCTGAAGTCAGTCCATCAGATTTGCAAACTACCCTGCAGTGTTTCTCCTTAAGCTACATAAAGTGACCTTACATTGCATTTTGCTTTCTTCATGTGTATTAATTTATAATCATAGAAATAAACTAACTCTTGGATAGTACTTGTGGCTGAGAGATCCCTTTCAACATTTCTCAGTCTTTTTTTTTTTTTTTTTTTTTTGGTGAATTAGAATTTTATTCCAGGGTTTCATCATACCTGAGGATTGTTGCAATCACCTGTCCCTCCTCTACAAAAGGAGGGGTGGCTGAGAGGTGTTTCAGGTCCTTTCTAGCCCCAGAAGTCTGTGCCTCCATGAAATGCTGGACTATATTGTTTAGTACTAAATTGTTGTACAGTAACCACAAATATCTTCTTGATTGACTGGTTTTTGACTACTTTATTTTCTTCTGCCCCACCTGTCAAGAGAAGGAACAGGCTTTTGAGTTCCTGTGCAGAACACATGATTTATGCTCTCTGAGACAGAAAGGATGCCCTTTTCAGATAAGACATGAAAGGTCAGAAGAGTTACACAGCTGGCCCAAGACATCCAGACACAGTGAATGGCAGAGTGGGGATTTCCACCGCCTCACCAAGCTGAGTGTCCACAGATGGCAACCGGAATAAGAGGAAGTGGAATTTCTTTCTTTTGCCTTTTTAAAGACACAGATTTTAAATGTTTACTGAGAATCTCATGGGACTCACTTCTATGATGAACAACAACAACAAAAGAATCCTTTTGATCTGTGGATTTAAATCCTATTTAAAGTAGTTCTGCAGATGGGTTGCATCACGTAGAGGTGACTGTGAAGCTGGTTGAGATTCCAGACACCAGTAAATTGTATACAGACTTCTTGATTTCTCTACAATTCAACAGAAGGATTTGAAAAGGAAAAAAAATTTGCCAATTGGGAGACAATCTAGGTTACCTTTTGTGTGTTACATTTATTGCCTAGAGTTTATTGTTTTTGTGAGGAAACATACATGAAATTACATCAATAAGTAAGTATGCCTACTGTAGTTACCATGAAGAACTAAGCAAATAATAATAAGTTTCTTTTTATTTTATTTTTTTTTTTTTGAGATGGAGTCTTACTCTGTGGCCCAGGCTAGAGTGCAGTAGTGGAATCTCAGCTCGCTTCAACCTCTGCCTCCTGGGTTCAAGAGGTTCTCATGCCTCAGCCTCCCAAGTAGCTGGACTATAGGTGCATGCCACTATGCCTAGCTAATTTTTGTATCTTTTTAGTAGAGACAGGGTTTCACCAGGTTGGCCAGGCTGGTCTCAGACTCCTGACCTCAGGTGATTCACTCACCTCAGCCTCCCAAAGTGCTGGGATTACAGGCATGAGCCACCACGCCCAGCATATTTCTAACAAAAGGTTTTCCATAACAGCAAAAGTGGGTAATCTAAAATATTTTATAGAAAGATTCTTTTTTTTTTTTTTTTTTAGACAGAGTCTCACTCTGTCACGCAGTCACCCAGGCTGGAGTGCAGTGGCGCAATCTTGGCTCACTGCAGCCTGCACTTCCCAGGTTCAAGCAATTCTCGTGCCTCAGCTTCCCAAGTAGCTGGGATTACAGGCGTGTGTCACCACTCCTGGCTAATTTTTGTATTTTCAGTAGAGACGGGGTTTTACCATGTTGGCCAGGCTACTCTTGAACTCCTGGCCTGAAGTGATCCGCCCAACTTGACCTCTCAAAGTGCTGGGATTATAGGTGTGAGCCACTGCGCCCAGCCGGATTTTAAGATTCTTATAAATAGAATTAAATATTTACCTTAGGTGAACACAAGTACTAGTTTTCTTCCAATCTAAGCAATAAAGGGAGCTTGTCTCATAGAAGAAACAAAAAGTAGCTATGCTATTTAGACATCATGCTTTCTTTCTAGAACCTCATATTGGAAGCCAAATTACCTAGGGGTGAAATACTAATATCAAAAAAAGGTAGCAAATCAACTATAAATATATGGATCCAATAAATGACTTATAAAACCTATTATAAAATTTGGTACAAACTGCTGAGAAAAAATGTTTTTACAAAGCTGCTTACAGTGGCAAAATCAGAAGGAAGAAATCGTGCAACACTTGCTGTACACCAGGTTTTCTATATCCTTGTTCTAACTTTGAAAAAGTATTCAATGTCACTGATGTGATGAATGAAATAATAATGATACCCCAGGTGTACATTTATTTAATATCGAATTGAATGCCACCATTAAGCAGCATCTGCCTTTCACATTTTTTAAAAAGTATCTCAGAACTATTAAGTCAACCTCTTTTTATCAGTATTTCTTTTATAAAATACTGTTTTGGCATTTTGCCTTTTCTTGATGGAATTAATCGATGTGATACTAAGAACTCTCCTTTAAATGATGAAAAATTCCCAAAGATTTGTAAGAATAGGCGAGAAAACTGGGGATACCGCAGGATTCTGGGGAGAGTCATGCAGCCAGCATGGGAGACTCTTGTTGGGAACAGAGGAGGAAGAGCTGACCGAGGAATGCCGATTGATGAGCCTGCAGGAATTCTGCTGTGGGCGAAGTGTGGATGTGCATTAATTTGTTCAAAGAGGTTGTAAGTAAGAGAAGAAGACCAGAGATCAGCTCCTGGGAACTGTCGCCCCTCAGGAGGCAGCATACAACCAGTGGTGACAGAGCAGCCCGGGTACCTCGCCCCTCCTGCTGTGTATAGTGGAGACGGTAGCATTGCCGTGTACGGAGTGTGAGAAATAAGTGGGCTGAGCCTATCTGCCGGGCTGACTCCCTGATGCTCCCTGGAAAGGAGACTTGTGCCCAAGTCAGATTTCTATCCATACCCGTCATCCTGAAATCACAGATTGTGACGATCAGGTCCAAGTATTCTGAATACATTAGATAATTTATTTGCATTATTCGAAAAAGCCCTCCTTAGCTTACCTGACAATAGTGTTTAGTGGTTTTTACTACTAGTTATGGCTAATACGTTGCACTAACAATGGTAATATGAAGGGTTACAATAATACTGTTCAGGCAGGCTGGGGCTCATAGTGGAATTTTATGGTTTATTAGCCATAATCGTCTTGCAATTTTTTTTTCCTTCAGGTTTTGGCTTGTGGTTAATGGGCATGTTGATAAACATCCATTCAGATCATATCCTAAGGAATCTCAGAAAACCAGGAGACACTGGATACAAAATACCAAGGGGTACGTACTGAAAGTGAAGAATTTATGTGAAAGTTGAGTGGCATGGTGCCTTACTATTTCAGGGTTGCCAGCTCTGAGAAGTAGTATAGTATTTATTAGCTATAAGTTTTCAGTGTAAGTTATCATTATTAATAACAAGTGCTATCATTATTGTCTTATTAGAATAACAAAAAACAAATCTGGCTAACTGAACAGTTATTACAGCAGAAACTCCAGTTATATCTGTGCTTGGAAAGAGAGAATGAGGAAGAATTTAAGGTTTACGAGGAGTGTCTGACACTTCTGTTTCTAGCATTATAATGGAATAGATACTTTAACCTTCCTCTGAAAACAGTTTAAAATGTTGGAATTATTTGAAAATCTTTTTAAATGCATCAGTATACTATCAAGAAAGGAAGTCATCATCAGAGAACAAGATCTAAGTGAATAGTAGAATCACATGAGGTCAGGAGTTCAAGACCAGCCTGGCCAATGTGGCAAAACCCTGTTCCTACTAAAAACACAAAACACAAAAATTAACTGGCCATCGTGGTGCGCACTTGTAGTCTCAGCTACTTGTGAGGCTGAGGCACAAGAAACGCTTGAGCCTGGGAGGCATGGGGTGCAGTGAGCCGAGATCGCACCACTGCACTCCAGCATGGGCGACAAAGTGAGACTCCATCTCAAAAAAATTAAAAATAAAAATAAAATGTGAATGGAGCAGTTGCAGGGTCTATACCCATCAGCTAAAGAACACCTGTGACAAACCCACAGTCTATAAACTCAGCTTATTCCTGTCGCAGTAAAGGGAGACCCCTCCGTGCTGTGTTTTCTCACCACGCACAGCCTCCTTCCTGCAGCAAGTAATCACCCTAGCTTCCCAACAGCCCATGGCCATCAGTGGCATCTCTGAAAATAGACAGGCCAAAGGAGATGCAGAAGCTTGGCTGTGACTCCTAGGCAGCAGGAGGTGATGCCAGGCGCCAGTGCAGATGACATGGGACACAGAAGACTTACTTTAGGAAGAAAATGCTTCTAAAATTCTTAATTTCTCCTATCCAAGTACTAACCAGGCTCGACCTTGCTTAGCTTCCAAGATCAGACAAGATATGATGTTCATAGTCCATTCCTTGTTTCTAATCATTAAATTAAAAGTCCCACAAGACCAAAACAAACACCACAGAAGCATGTTAGAAGATGGAAATGAAAAAGCAAAGGATACGAATCCTACACTGGGTTGATATGAATGGCTATGACTACTTACAGCCAAGTAGTAGAGAGCCCAATATTGCAAACATCTATACACCCCACCTTCCTTAAATAAGAAAAAGTAAAACACTTTGCTGTCTTGGGCTCAGCAAAACCATTTTCTTTCTTTTTAAAAAGTAGACCATCTCAGGCTGGGCACCATGAGTCACATCTGTAATCCCAGCACTTTGGGAGGCCGAGGCAGGTGGATCACTTGAGGTCAAAAATTCCAGACCAGTGTAGCCAACATGGTGAAACCCCCTCTCTACTAAAAATACAAAACTTTGCCAGGCATGGTGGCACATGCCATGTGCCACTTGAATGTGGTAGGTGGAGATTGCAGTGAGCTGAGATCATGCCACTGCACTCCAGCCTGGGTGACAGAGCAAGACTCTATTTCCAAAAAAAAGGTAGACCATCTCAGCTCCAGCCAAAGCACTCATGCATGTAAGCTGCAGCGTGCTCAGTGATGCAGTCTCCACCCTCTGCTACGACATTTGTTGAAATTGGTATTATGACTTAGAGTATAATGGTTTGTCGTTTTGTGGTTGTCGTTGTTTAAGACAGAGTCTAGCTGTTACCCAGGTTGGAGTGCAGTGGCACAATCTCAGCTCACTGCAACCTCCACCTCCTGGGTTCAAGTGATTCTTGTAGCTGGGACTACAGGTGTGCACCATCACACCTGGCTAATATTTGTATTTTCGGTAGAGACAAGGTTTCACCATGTTGGCCAGGCTGGTCTCAAACTCCTGACCTCACATGATCCACCTGCTTCAGCCTCCCAAAGGTCTGGGATTACAGGCATGAGCCACTGTGCCTGGCCTAAATTTTTTTTTAGATGCTCTGTCTTTATATGCCTTCAGCATTTTCTTTTTTTTTTTTTTTTCTTGAGACAGAGTTTCGGCTGGAGTGCAATGGCGCAATCTCGGCTCACCGCAACCTCCGCCTCCCGGGTTCAGGCAATTCTCCTGCCCCAGCCTCCTGAGTCGCTGGGATTACAGGCACACGCCACCATGCCCAGCTAACTTTTTGTAGTTTTAGTAGAGACGGGGTTTCACCATGTTGACCAGGATGGTCTCGATCTCTTGACCTCGTGATCCACCCGCCTCGGCCTCCCACAGTGCTGGGATTACAGGCTTGAGCCGCCGCGCCCGGCCTATTTTCTCAGCTCTGCAGACACAGTGCCCAATTAGAACCCCTGGCGCAGACCACACCAGGCCTCTCTAGAACACACTTGAGTGGCACAAAGCTACAGCCTAAGGGTGAGTCCCACGGAGGGGCCTCCTGCCCTCCCCCTTTGCTGGGACCCCTCTCCCACCCCTCCTCTGGTCCTTGGAGTGTACCAGCCGTTGCTCTCTGCCTCAGGTCCTGTGCTGCATCTCTTCCCTGGCCTGGAGCACTCCTGAGAGCACCCCCAATACCTGCCAGCCTGGCCCTCACCTGCAAGCCCTGAATTGACCCTCACCTTCCCTGTGAGGCCTGTTCCCAGCCACCCTGTGATGGTGACCTCCTTCACCCCATCCCAGCTCTGGGCCCCCCTCTTCTCTGCCTCTCGCTGCTCCTCCCCTCCACGTGCTACGTGCTCTCCTTGTTCATGACACTGGAGTTTGTGGTTCTAGATGTGGGGAGGGGTCCGTCCAAGTGCCTGGGCAGGGCCTGGCCCGTAATACTGACTCAGTGCATTTGTGAAGATGTGATGAATGAATGAATGGATCTGTGCTTGAAAATGAATATCTTCATCACTCATTGTTCAAGGGTTCTACCTAGGTCCGTTTTATGTGGCTAGTTCGTTGTCAGTTGTTACACTGTATTCTCTGTGCTTGCATGATTCATCAGCAGGTGCATGGTTTATTGGCATTTTCCACTGTAACTGTACGTGTGTATATTCACGTAGATGGGTATTGATATAGATATGTAGTTGACGATCAGAAGTCATGATATAAATTAGTAGACCACGTAACACTGAATATGTCTAATTGCTGAACGTTCTCTAAGGGTATATTTTTCCGTTCTTGATGTTATGTTCTCCAGGTAAGTATTCACTAGCATCTCTGAAGTCAGTATTTCATTTTGTGGTAAATGCACTACCTTGGTCTGTGTTTTCTTCTAGGAGGCTTATTCGAATACGTAACTGCGGCCAACTATTTTGGAGAAATCGTGGAGTGGGGGGGCTACGCTCTGGCCAGCTGGTCCGTTGAAGGCGCGGCTTTTGCTTTCTTCACATTTTGCTTTTTATGTGGTAGAGCAAAAGGGCATCATCAGTAAGTTTTAAAACACTTTTCCTATTTATAATTTGTTCTTTGACTATGTTATTACTATTTTCAGGCTAGATTTTTGAAGAGTTAATTTAAATTGCTGAATCCCAGGTTATTCTGTGCTTTCGCCAAAAAAGTACAAAACCAAACCAATAGCTGTAGAATCACCCAGCTCTAAGGGGTGGTCAGATCCACAGCCACACAGTTGTTCTCTATACCACGTCCTTAGCCTCTGAATGGCCATTGCTGGAGTCAAGTTAGACACCAAGCAGAGGACTCGGGGTTCTGAATGAGAAAAGGCTGAATGAAACAGAACCCTGGCCGAGCAATAGCCAACAGCCGGATTGTGAATGCCGCAGGTCGAGGAAGTCCTGAAGAGGAAGGTGAATCCCAGAGTCAGCCGACACTGGCAGAACTCGGGCACACAGGAGCTCTTTAGCTGTGTGGTGGCTTAGGCCATGGCTCTAAACCCGGGGTCCTTGATGGGCTACAGAGGCTCTGTGCACCCCCTAGAATGACATCATTTTCCAGAGAGCAGGTCCTTGGCTTTTATGTGATCCCCCAAAGTGCTTGCGAGCCATTTGACCAACAAACTCATAAAGAAACCAAAGGGGCCGGGTGCAGTGGCTCACGCCTGTAATCCCAGCACTTTGGGAAGCCAAGGCAGGCAGATTACTTGACGTCAGGAGTTCAAGACTAGCCTGGCCGACATGGTGACACCCTGCTATACTAAAAATACAAAAAATTAGCCAGGCATTATGGCAGGTGCCTATAATCCGAGCTACTCGGGAGGCTGAGGCAGGAGAATCACTTGAACCCTGGAGGTGGAGGTTGCAGTTACCCTATATTGCGCCACTGCACTCCAGCCTGGGCAATAGAGCAAGACTCAGTTTCAAAAAAAAAGAAATCAAAGGATGTCAAGGCTGAAGTAAATTTAGAGAACATCTTTCTAATCCAGTGAATGAGGAAACTGAGGTTCAAGGAGCAGGAGTAGAGTCTGAGGCCAGCCAGGAACCCTGTCTCATTGTCGGAAAGAGATCTCAGCAGCAGCACGGGACCTTTACCTGCCCTGACGTAGGCGCGTGTCCCTGACAATAAATGATGGAGACTGAGCTTAGCAAGCAGCCAGCCTGGTTTGCGCCTTTACCATGTCCCCTGAGCCACCCGCATCATCCACTCAAAACAACTCATCGAAACCTCCAATGCTGCTGATGCTACGAGGTGTGCAGAAATGTATAATGCTGTCCTACTTCATGGAGTTTACCGTTTCGTTTGAGGCTGAGGATAGAGAGAAAAAGCTAAAAGAAGAGTAGATTGATATCATGGGATGGTGAGAAAAGTACCTAGGTGTGCGTCCCAGCCTCACCATGTGTTTGCAGATGCAAAGGGCGATTATTGGAGATAAGAAGAAGAAAGGTCAGATCTGAAGTATCTCTTTGTCTAATTTTTTTTTTTTAAGATAGTGTCTTGCTCTGTCACCCAGTCTGGAGTGCAGTAGCACAATCTCAGCTCACTGCCACCTCTACCTTCCAGGCTCAAGCTGTCTTCCCACTTCAGCCTCCCAAGTAGCTGGGATCATAGGCACACACCACCATGCCTGGCTAATTTTTTATATTTTTTGTAGACTTGAGGTCTCACTATATTGCCCAAGCTGGTCTTGAACTCCTGGACTCAAGCAGTCCTCACACCCCAGCCTCCCAAAGTGCTAGGATTAGAGGCATGAGCCAACATGGCTGGTAGCCTTTTTGTCTAACATTTGAAGAAGTGATCACGTAAATGCAAGAGCTGATGAGATCTCTAAGAGCGGCGCCCTTCATTCTTTCGAGACACTCCATCATGCCAGTGGCCTGGTAGTTTCACGCATAGACAGTGAGGAGAGAGCGAGATCAGAGAGCCACAACCTACCTAAATCCCAGAGCTGCTGAGACAAACAGAGGGGTCTGCAGAATATGAGCAAGTGCCGAAGGCAGAGAGGGTTTGAGAAGGAGGCTCGATGCCAGGCGTGGCAGAAAACACTGAGGGCCAGGACTGGGCCTTCTGTGCTGGGAACTGTGCCTGCCGAAAGGTTACATAGGAGTCCTAAGCCCTAGTACCTGTGAAAGCAACTTTATGGGGAATGTAATTAGTTGAGATGAGGTGGAGCAGAGTGGGCCTAATCCGGTATGACTAATGTCCTTCTGAGAAAGGGGAACGTGGACGCAGACATACACAAAGGGAAACACCAGATGATCAGTGGGAAGATCCATGGGAAGGTGGACACAGAGGCAGTGGTGATGCGGGAACATGTGGCGCCACCAGAGCTGGGGAAGACGGGACGGGAACCTCCCCTGAACCTTCGGAGGGAGTGCAGCCCTGCCGCCGTCATGATTTCCAACTTCTGGCCTCCAGAACTGGGAGAGAATCAGTGGCTGTTACTGTAAGCCGCCCAGCGTGTGGTAGCTTTGTTCCAGCAGCTGCAGGGAGCCGATACACCAGCCTTCCGGCCATTTAAAATTGACTAGGAAAGGAAGGGCAGAGGAGTATGATTTGTGAAGCCTTCTCTTCTGTCCTCCGCCAGGTGACTTTGTCCCAGGTTTGGTTGAAATACTATGTTACCACTCTAAATACACATTCCAGAGTCTGACTGCCTCCGCTGTGCCCCGCCTCCCCCCAGGAGGCCTGGGCCGCACTTCCAGGTGAAGACGCCGTTCTTTTACATCCCTAATATTTGGTGCGAAGAGGCAAGCAGTGGCTCATTTCTAATAATAAAAACAAATGAGATAACGCTGACTTTAAGAAAACATGGATCAGAGCAAGATTGAACAAGGCCATACCAGGTCAATGGTAGAGATATTTTCTCAAATGAAAACAGGAAAACCCCTCTCAGTATTTGAATATGAAACATATAGAAATGGAAAATAAACAAGTCAGTTATCTAAATGAAAGTCTTTGCTAATGAAAACCCAGAGATGTTCTTTGCAGAAGAATTCCTGAGTTGAAAGAGCTCTTTGTCATTCGTTTGCTACTTAAATTGGTGTCAGTGTGAAACTAGTTTTAAGTCCGGAAGAATTAATCAATTCAGTTTTGCAGAAGAATGTTCAGAAATGAAGGACTTACAAGCTGCAAATAAAATAAAAACTACTTTTTAAAAAATATTTTCATAAACCCAACAAATTAAGCCATCAAGGAAGCATATTCCAAAATAATACATGCTAAGGAGCTATTCCTTCCACTCCATTTGATTATAATGTTCTAAAAACAATATTGTATTACAATGAAATTCTTTCTATATTGCGAAACTCTGTCTCAAAAAAAAAAAAAAAGAAATTCTTTCTATAATAATTAGTGTTTAAATTTATAAATGATTGCATTGATAGTTAAACTCCAGGTCAGGAACAGTCAGCCAGCCATGCTGGGTTGCTAACAAATATTCTCTTTAAGGGCAAAATTTAAAGGTATTCTAAGGAGTGAGAAATATTTAATCATTTAACAAGAAATAATTTATTTCTATATAATGGTTTCTGTGAAATACATTTAACCTCTTCAGCCAACATCCCTTCGTTGTGTGAGAACATCCTGACCTCACACGTGTTCTCTCTGTTGTCACGGAGCCCAGCCTCGCTGCCCAGCCTGGGGAGGGCGTCTTTTGGGGGTCCTGCAGCTGTCCTGTGTCTCCTGTGTCCTGCCTGCCCTCTTGTGTTTGTCCATTTTAGGCTCTCCTGCTGTTGTGTACTCTGCCCTTGCCTTTTCAGGCCAGGGTACCCATCTTCCACAGGCAGATTCTGGGAGAGAGGAGCTCACCTCCTGTGTCCCTGTGTGGTGCCCTGTCCCGCTGGACCGTGGGGAAGCTTTTCGGCACGCGCAGGTGGTAGCTGGCCTGGATCCCAGCAGGCCTGTGGAAACCTTCAGCACCTAACCAGCGAACATGTTTGCAACACACTTCTGCAGGTTTCACACCAGCTGGTAGGCTTGGCCACATTGTGTGATGGGCACTCTCGGGTCCATGCACCACCACTGAGCCACACAGCTGGAAAGGCTGCAGTCTTGAAGCCTCGTGCCAGGGGAAGTGACGCTTGACCCAGAATCCTGACCAACTTCTTAGAATTGTTCCTATTACATGCCTTTCTGGGGACACAGAACATACTAAAGTAAACATGGCAGCCCAGTATGTTCTCATTCTCTATTTGTGGATTCTGGTGTTAAACTTAGAACTAAGACAAGCAACTCACTCTGTTTCTCATCCTCATCTGTTTCTACCACATTAACAAAGAGCTAATTGCTTTCTATCATTATTTTTAGTCTGTTGTTTAATCTTTCTCTGTGTGTTTATAGAAAGTCTCTTTCTATGACCATTTATCCGTCCTGTCAAACTATTTTTAATTTTTACTCCACTTAGTTGCCACCTTTCCCAACTATTACCCCCAAAACAAATGAGCATGCCTTTGTTCATATAATTTATATCAAAACGGAAAATACTGTTTGTTTCGAGCACAGGGCCGAATTGTGGACAATGCCATATTGCATTTCCCCAGATTTCACTGAATCCTTGCTCAGAGATGTTCAGGAGCCCCCTGGCATGTGCTGGGTGCCCACTCTGCACACCCCGGGCTGGGCCAGTAGTTCTCGACTACAGGCTGGAGAAAACTGCTAGAGTCACCAGCAGAGGTTCAGGAAGCACCTACTTGGTCCTGCCCCTCCTCCAGCCTGCATGCTTTCCCCGGGGGCTGAAAAGATAGCCCCACAATGTGCTGATGAGTATTTTCATCAAATGTCAGTACTTTTCCTTCCAGATAGAAAGGTGAATTCTATGGGCTACTTTTTCCAAATCATACTTTATGATTAGACATGTTTAATTCTTCATGATATAGGCAAAATTAAACTAAGGGTATGAAATGCCAAAATTTTTGTTACTACATTTTAAAAACTCAGTATTTTACAATGAATAATTGTCACTTTTGTTAGCATCTGTTAAATGTTTAAGTGACAGAATTATTTCCTTTTTTAATGTTTTTTCTTATTTTTAGGTGGTACCTCCAGAACTTCGAAGAGTATCCAAAGTTCAGAAAAATTCTAATTCCATTTTTGTTTTAAGTGCATTTTCAATGAAATTATTGTCAACTTGAAGCTTTTCAATGCATTTATCTAGGGACTTTATAACTAAGTCACATCTTTGAAATTTTCCTGCTAATTCATCATTTTCAAGATGTCCTCTAGGAATTTTTTCCTAGTAGTTTTGCAAGCTATCTAAAAAGTAGCTAAATAAGCTGAAACGGGGCCGGGTGCAGTGGCTCACGCCTCTAATCCCAGCACTTTGGGAGGCCGAGGCGGGTGGATCACAAGGTCAGGAGTTCAAGACCAGCCTGGCCAAGATGGTGAAACCCCATCTCTACTAAAAAAAGAAAATAAAAAAATTAGCTGGGCGAGATGGCCAATGCCTGTAATCCCAGCTACTCAGGAGGCTGAGGCAGAGAATTGCTTGAACCCGGGAAGGGGAGGTTGTAGTGAGCTCAGATTGAGCCACCACACTCCAGCCTGGGCAACAGAGTGAGACGCCATGTTGGAGGAAAAAAATAGAAAAAAAAAAAAAAAAAGCCAGGCGCAGTGGCTCACAGCTGTAATCCCAGCACTTTGGGAGGCCAGGGCAGGCAGATCATGATATCAGGAGTTCAAGTCCAGTCTGGCCAACATAGTGAAACGCCATCTCTACTAAAAATACAAAAAAAATTAGCCGGGTGTGTTGGTGTGCACCTGTAATCCCAGCTACTTGGGAGGCTGAGGCAGGAGAATCGTGTGAACCCAGGCGGTGGAGGTTGCAGTGAGCTGAGATCGCACCATTGCACTCCAGCCCAGGCGGCAATGCAAGACTCCATCTCAAAAAAAAAAAAAAAAAAAAAAAAAAACACAAAAAATGGAGATTGAAGTATCCCACCATATAACAGGTCAGAATTTCAAACTCCGGGTAAAAACTGCTGACATTTTTTCTAATTTCAAATTTACCTCTTTGGCTACCTCTTGCCACATGTGTATGAGACTAGAATTTACCACTGTCTTATTAAAGAGCAACAAATGTCACGATCCCTTCTATAGCCCCTACAATGCTCCCTTCAAGGTCAACAGCAGTGTTGCCTCCCAACTCCATAGGGCTGAGATCTGTCTTGGAGCCTGGAGGCCACAGAGGTCTGGGGTAGCCATTGTGCATTCATGGCCTGAGAAGAACTTCCAGCCTTCAGGCCAGGTGCTGTATGTAAATGGAGAACTTGGGGATAGAGGAGGAAGCTCCACGCAGTCCTTCCAAGGCTGAGCAAAGGCATCTGGACTTGTTCCAACCCAGCCCACCAGGTGACATCATCAGGCAGGGAGGGGTGCTGGTGGTGGCTCCTAGGGAGTGAGCTGCAGTTCCCGTTGGAGGGGCTCCTGGGTCCTTAGCAGGCACCTTTAGGCCATGGGTCACTCACCATGCGCCATCAATATGCTCTGGTCTCGAGTGGTTTCTCTTTGTCCTCTACTCTAGAGCTAGCTTTTTGTTCTGTTGCCTGCATGTGGACATAGTAGAGATTATTGTCTGTGAAATTTTTCCTTTGTGGATTTTGAGTTTTCTCTCATAAAGAATGATCACCTTCTGTAAATTAACAAGACCAATTTTTAAGATTTATCCTGTTCTTTGTTAATTGAAACATAATAATTATGTTGTTAAAATTCTCAACAGCCTTTTTTTTGTCTTCTGTAGCTAATCTTCCTTCTAATAATTTTTGCTTTCTGTTTTGCTGTTATGGCTTTGAAAGCTTTCCCCTCAGCCTGTAGGTGTTATACAGTAATCTTCCTGTGGAATGCTTCATGACTTAAATTCTACTTGGATCAAAACATTGCCAGACTACTTTTTATCTTGATGAATTCATCTGTCATTTCTTTGCCTTATCCTCTCATCTGAAGTTTTTAAATGCCATTTGTTTTCGCTGTCTTTAAAAACATAATAAATAGACTTTGCCATTTAATAAGGTAGCTCAAATTCTTTTACTGATTGTTACATTGAAACATTCTTTCATTGTGTTTTCTGTTTTTATTTGTTTCTTTGCCACTACTGTTTATTATCTACAGTGATTTGGAAAGGGGATTTCCTTTAAAACAAACTTACTGGGAACGGCTTTTATGATTTTAAAAGTAGCCTTGAGAGCTTCCAGTTAAATCTGATGAGCTGAACATACACCTTTCCTTCTCCACTCCCTATCCTGACCCCAGTTGAAATCACCTCAAAGGAATTTAAGTAGGGGAGTAGCCCCATAAAGTGAGAGAAAGTCATCGCTGCAGGCAGACCACAGCCCGGGTCGAAATGGGCCTGATGCAGCAGGGCAGAGGGCCATGGCGCACTGCTGAGACTGTGGGTCCTCACACCTGGGTTGACAGAGGGCGGAAGGGAAATGAGCACCTCAAAATAAGACCAGCTAAACATGGGGCACACAGCAGACAGCAGTGTCCTCTGCACTCCCACTCCCCACGGAGAACATGGAGAGCCCAGAAATGAGTGACGTGCCCATTGCTGGGGAAGAGAAAGGTGGGCTGAGGAGACGGCCTCTCCTAACACAAAAATTAACTCATTGGGGAAAAGCACAGCAACGAGGTATTGGCATCCCAGGAAACAAAATGAAGTCTCCACATTTTGGTCTTTAGGGATCCTATCCCATAATGGCTGGTCACCTCCTGCCTCATGCTGCCAGGAAGCCAGGCGGGGGCATGGGGCTGCCACGATTACAGCTCCCGCTCAGCCTTTCTGGTCCTTTTTAGAAAATGTGAACCAGAGAACAAGAAGCACCAGATACTTAGAAAAATCTGCATCATAAAAGAGCAATGAATGCCTCTCAAGAAAACATGATTCTAGGAACCAAAGGGAATTTTTAAAAAGAAATTGTACTTCAGGGAGATTCAGCATCCACAGGGGAATGGACATCACTTACTATGGGACGTCGCATGCTGGAATACTACTCAGCAATGTGAAGGAACGGACTGTTGATGAATATTTATAAATCACATATCTGATAAAGGTGTTAATATTCATAATATGTAAAGAACTCTCAAAATTCAAAAATAAAGCAAGTTTTTTAAATGGGCAAATGATCGGACACATCACTAAATAATACATACAAGTGGCAAATAAGTACATGCAAAGATGCTTAATGTCTTTGGTCACTCTGAGGAAACATTAATAAGATATCAGTACGCATCTATCAGCCTTTCACAGAACTCTGATTTGAATGTTGAAATCTAAAAATTCATTCTGTTGAACAGTAAGCTGAGGCACAAATAAATTTTAAAGAATTTATTTGATCAAACAATGATTTATGAATTGGGCAGCTCCAAACCAGATGTGGTTCAGGAGCTCCACTGGGGGAAGCGCAGGGAAGGCTTTCATAGGACAGGTGCAGAGTCTGTGACCCCAGCTACACGTGCCTCATTTGATCTGTTCCCTTGGAAGGTCCCTGGTTATATAGGTTTGTTGCTTGCTCTGGTCAGTTGAGTTTAAATCCTGTTTTTCTTCAATACAGGCATTTACAACAAATAGCTCAAGTTGAGTTCCACTTGTTTGCAAAGCAAGCGAGGTTTAGGTCATTTATGAGGCCTAACTCTTTTTGTCTGCCCAGGGATTCTTCAGGTCTGGTCTCCATTTTAATTTACTTTAACATTTCTACATAGGATAGTCCCCAAAATGCCAACATTTTCCCAGTAACACTCGTAAGCCATAGCTTATTTTCCTCCATTAAATATTGTTACATTTACTTCAGATAGTTGAAAACCCCTTAAAAACTACACGTTTGCTCGAAAGGCTGTTCTTCAGTTAAAGTTCAAACCTGTTTGACCAGAGAAAAGCAAAGATTGTTAACTAAGACTATGATTATGTTAGTCTATTTTCATGCTGCTGATAAAGACATACCTGTGACTGGGTAATTCATAAGGAAAAAGAGGTTTAACTGACTCATGATTCCACATGGCTGGGGAGGCCTCACCATCATGCTGGAAGACATGTCTGACATGGCAGCAGGCAGGAGAATAAGAGCCAAGCGAAAGTGGAAACCCCCTATAAAACCATGTGATCTCATGAGGCTTATTCACTACCATGAGAACAGTATGGGCGAACCACCCTGTGATTCAATTATCTCCCACTAGGTCCCTCCTGCAACAGGTGGGAATTGTGGGAGCTACAATTCGAGATCTGGGTGGAGACACAGCCAAACTATATCAACCATCTTTTTTTTTTCACTTGTGAATGTAAAACTTTTTTAATATTTACTAATTAAATATTATAAATGCACATAGTGTATTCTATAGCATCCAGGTTTACTTTTTTTTTTTTTTAAAGGAAACTGTAAGTTACACTGTGGTTAAGACTTGTATCTTCACCCTTGAAAAAGCCCACATTCTATCACAGCAATGTATGGTCAAACTTAACAGCCCTAATTGTTAAACACTTGGATCAAGTCAAACAGTTTTCTGTTTGCTTGTTTGTTTTTTGACGGAGTCGTGCTCTGTGACCTGGAGTGCAGTGGTGCTATCTCAGCTCACTACAACCTCCCCTTCCCGGGTTCAAGCAATTCTCCCTCAGCTACAGGCATGCGCCACCACACCCAGCTAATTTTTGTATTTGTAGTAGAGATGGGGTTTCACCCTGTTGGTCAGGATGGTCTTGATTTCTTGACCCCGTATTCCGCCCTCCTCAGCATCCCAAAGTTCTGGGATTACAGGCGCGAGCCACTGCGCCCGGCTGTTATAACCAGTTTTATTGCAAAAGGACTCTGTAGACGTTGATCAATTCTAGTGCCTTCATCGCTACCCAACAAGTCATGAATATACAGAAACATGCATCATGAGAAGCAAGAAATATCACCCATGGCTCCTGCAAATTTGCAGCTGGTCACTCCTGAGCAGCAGTGCTCACATCACTGAGGTCTGTGGACGGTCACTCTTCGCATCCCTCCCGAGTGAAACATGGAATGACGAGCACAAACGCAGCATAGTATAAACAATTTCTTACAAAAGTCACTAACCAACGTATTTTATAGAATTTACTACAAAACGCCATAAAAACTGCCTTCACTTCAGCTCTCTCCGGGTATCCGGCGAGCCAGCTGGATGTCTTTGGGCACGACGGTGACTCAGCGTGAACGGCACCCAGGTTCGCATCTTCAAACAGACGCACCGGGTGCTTCTAAGCTCCTGCAGCTCACGATGCCTGCGCGGGGCAACCTCGGGTCGCTTTTGAAATCCTGCGCGATCTCCCGCACCTGCCTCGGCAGAGGCGGCTTCGGATGCGCTGCTGGCTGACTGCGGAGAACCAGGAGCGAGGAGGCTTCACCCGCCGGAGGGGGCCTTTCCT